TCCTCCCCTGGTCCCGCAGACCTTCCCTTCTCCCGCCGCATTTTCCATCACCTCAAACCCTCCCTCAGGACCGCACGGAGCCCGCCCTTTCCCGCCCACCGCTGATTGACAGCTGCCTCAGCCAATCAGCGAGCGCCCAGACTCTTCAACCCACCAATCACCACCCGTCTCCCCGCCCCTCTCTCCCGCCTTCTTCCCGCCGGCCCCGGATGCGGGAAGGCGGGGCTTGCTCGGGGCTCAACCAATGGGAAAGGCGGACGCGGGCGCGCGGGCGCGGCGGCAGCCAATGGGAGCGGAGGACGCCGGCGGGGACACGGCCAAGGTGACGCTCCCCGCAGAGCCGCCGCCGCCGCCGGCCCGAGCGGACCCCGTGCAGGTGGGAGCCGGCCCGGGCCGGGCCCGTCCCCGCCGCAGCCCCCGGGGTCCCGGTAGAGCCGCGGGCCCGGCCGGTGTTCGCTGGGGTCGTGCCCTTGGCTGCCAGGAGGGCGTTGGGGCCTGCAGTGCCCTCAGGGAGGGGGTCGTGAGGGCGCCGGTGTGGGAGGGAGGGCGGGAGGAGCTGCCCGGGGATGGCACCGAGCGGGGATTAACGGGCAAGGCTGAGGGGACAGCGGGGGACACGGAGGGGAGGGGGGAGCAGAGCCTTGGGGACACGGGGAGGATAAATCCTTGGGGACAGCCGGGGACAAAGCCTTGGGGACACGGTGAGGTTAAACCTTGGAGACAAAGTCTTGGGGACAGCCAGTGACAAGGTGAGGCTGAAACATTGGGGACAAAGCCTTGGGGACAGCCGGGGACACAGTGAGGTTAAATGTTTGGGACAAAGCATTAGGGACACCTGGGAACACGGTGAGGTTAAAACCTTGGGGACAAAGCCTTGGGGACAGCCAGGGACACGGTGAGGTTAAATTTTGGGGACACGGTGAGGTTAAAACCTTGGGGACACAGCGGGGTCAATGGGACAAAGCCTTGGGCACACAGAGCCGTGGTGGGGACACAACCTTGGGGACAGCTCGGATGTGTGTGTGACCCAGAGGGGGTGGCCTGGGGACAGTGACACCGGGAATCCCGCTGGCTTTGGGTTTATTTTCCTCTTGGTTTGTTGTAGAACCAGCAAAATGCAGGCTCCCCTGGCGCTCCTCGGCTCCCCGGCGCTGGTAGGTGCCTTTCCCTGGCAGGGCTGGGCTCATTCCCGCTGGGAATTCGGGATTTCTTCCTTGGGCTTCGGTGCCAAAGCCCCTCCTGCACACCCCAGGCTCGGCTGGGACATTGTTTTAGGCCGGGTTTAAGGAGGAAGGGAGCAAGGTGACCTCTGGTGACACCATGTGAGTGGCTGGCACTGAGCTGCAGGGCCCAGGGCTGCTCCCTGCAGGAACTGCTGGATTTCCACTCAGGAATCCTCTTCTTTCCAGGAGGAAACGTGGGAATGATGGAATTTCTGGGGCTGTGTGGAATTGCTGGCGGGCTTGATCCAAGTGGCTGGAATGGAAACACTCTCCATTAATACCAATAATAACCCTTTATTTTCCACTCTTGTGGCAGTGCTGGGATGTTTTAGGGGGATTTCAATGCTGCGTTTTCCTGAGGGTTCCCACATCACTCCAGGTGTGGGAACGCTGCCCCCAGGGAGTGGCTGCAGGGGTTTGGGATGGATTTTAGGGAGAGGTTCTCCCTGCAGAGGGTGCTGGGGCTCCAGGGGGGTTTGGGATGGATTTTAGGGGGACGTTCCTGAGCTGTCCCTGTCCCTGTCCCTGCAGTTCCGCTGCTGCTCCCGGGCCCTGGCCAGGCCCGTGTCCGTGGCTGTGTTCAGCAGGCCTGAGGCTCAGACTGCACAGGTGAGCCTGGGGATGGGCTTTGGGCTCATCCTGCTCCTGATCCCTCATCCTCATCCTTCATGTCCCATCCCCGTCCTGATCCTGGTCCTCCATACTCAACCTGATCCTCCATCCTGGTCCTTTATCCTCCATCCTG